TGTATACCAGGCACCATCTTGTACTCACCACGGCAACCTATGACAGGGACCATTTTCAAACCAGGTAAAGAAGGCACAGAGGAGGAAAGCAGTGGCCCCAGACCTCGCTGCTGCAGAGTCATGATCTGGAACGCTGACAAAACACCTTCATCTGCAGCCTGCTTTGCCCTGTCAACCATGCACCATACCTGGGGGTCATTGACCTCTATGCTTGACCTCCTAGACCACTGAGGAGTCCCTGATGTGTCCAGAAGCCTCTCACTAGGAAGTCTGCCTCTGAGGACCTTAAGCCCAAAAGATAAAGACATTCAATGGCCAAGAGAGACAGAGACATCAGTGGCTAAGAGAGAGACAGAGACACCAGTGCCTAAGAGAGACAGAGACATTGATGGCAAAGAGAGACAGAGACATCAGTGGCTAAGAGAGAGACAGAGACACCAGTGCCTAAGAGAGACAGAGACATTGATGGCAAAGAGAGACAGAGACATCAGTGGCTAAGAGAGAGACAGAGACACCAGTGCATAAGAGAGACAGAGACATTGATGGCAAAGAGAGACAGAGACATTAGTGGCTAAGAGAGAGACAGAGACGCCTGTGCCTAAGAAAGACAGAGACATCAGTGCCTGAAAGAGAGACAGAGACATCAGTGCCTGAAAGAGAGACAGAGACATCAGTGCCTGAGAGAGAGACAGAGACATCAATGGCCAAGAGAGACAGAGACATCAGTGCCTGAGAGAGAGAGAGGGAGACATCAGTGCCTGAAAGAGAGACAGACAGAGACATCAGTACCTGAGAGAGACAGAGACATCAGTGGCTCCTGAACAGAGAACTCAGGAGGCCTCGTCCAGAGGTGACTTATGGAAACCCTGATAACAAATGTTTGAAGCCATTGGGCCTGGTTATTTTCTTAGGTGGCATGGACCCCTAATCTACTGATGTTTGAGGAAATAATAATGAGACTTTCCCTAAAACAAACAGCGAGCAAACAAAACCAGAGTTCATCGGACTCTGTCTCTGAAGCCAGAAATGAAAGAAGGAATCATGTATGTTGGCTGGTGGTTCGAGGTGGGGGGTGGGGAGTGAGGTCTGTTGGTGCTGGGTCTGTGATGAGGCACAGAACCACGACATCAGGACCATGTGGCAGGGCCCGATCACCTCATGACAGACAGGAATCAGGGTCAGATGAACACAGGAAGTAAGGGAAGCAGGATGCACATGCCCCGTGAGCTACTTCCCCCAACTAATCCCCACCTTCTGTCTTTCATTGTCTTCCCTTAATACCCCCATATGGTGAGTCCATGAGGGGATGTCATTGGCTAGATCCTCAAGGCCCTCCCACCTCTTCAAAGCCCATCGGCTGCCAATCAAGAACTTATGAGCCTCTGGGGACATCACACATTCGAACTGTAACATCCAGTGAGGCTTCATGAGGGACCCAAACCTTGCTTGATTGCAGACAGAAGCAATAACCACACTGCTTATGTTCGCGACAGTATTAAAGCAAAACAGGGTGGAATCAGCCTCTCAGAGTGGTCAACAGACCCGTAATTGTGAAGCAGGGACTCCGGGGAGGTCAAGTAGGGCCCTGCAGGGCACGCACACACTGCCTTTACATTGCTACCACCTTAGAAAGTTCATCCCTGGAGCCCCCTCTGTCCAAATCCCAGCCCTCCTCTGGCCAGAGCTTCCCAATTCAGGAAGGGTTGTTAGTTCAATAAACTTTATAAGACAGTACTGTCCCTCCGTTTGCCTACTTAACCACACCGACAGTGACAGGCTCCTCCCTGACCGTAGGGATAGCTCCTGGGGGTGGGACTGAGGAGGCAGGAGAAAAAGAAGCCTCCTCCACAGTCCAGGAGCTGGTATTTCAGCTGACCAATCTGTAGGGCCTAATATTACCCGGATCCGACTTTGGCAGGGCCCCTCACAGCTTCTTCAACATTTTCATAGACAGCAGCATATGGGGGACACTGGAGAAAACTCATGGAGGAGACACTGAGCACACTTGGGGAGCTACTGGAGTGCTGAAATTTACCCCACCGACCTTGTTTCTGTGCCCAGGAACCCCTGTTCTAGACATCCTTTCCCAGCTGGGGCAAGGCTGTCCCAAGAGGAAAGAGTGGTTTGAGGGCAAGGTAAAAGGGTTGCATTCTTTTGTGCACACGAAGAAATGGGACCACACAAACAGCCACGTGTGCCTGTCCTGTTGTCATCAGACAGCTAGGAAGGCCTGAAAAGGCTCTGCGAGGGACAAGGGAGTAAAACAGGTAACAAAACACTAACAATTATGTTACAGGCAGGATGGACGGAGGATGTAAGACTCAAGTGTTTTGTTGTTGTTTTGTTTTGTTTCGAGACAGAGTTTCTCTATGTAGCTTTGGTGCCTGTCCTGGAACTAGCTCTTGTAGACCAGGCTGGCCTCGAACTCACAGAGATCCACCTGCCCCTGACTCCCAAGTGCTGGGGTTAAAGGCGAGCACCACCACCGCCCAGGCCTCAACTACAATTCTACATCTTGTCTTGCCTGGTGGTGGGTGACATGGTGTGTTGGCTTGCTCTCCTAAATTCATGTCTATCACTTGGAGAGCATTATAACCCAAAGGAACTTAGGAGAAAAGGGTTTATTTGAATTACCTTTCCAGGTCACAGCCCATCACTGAAGGGAAGGACAGGAACTCACAGCCCATCACTGGAGGAAGGGAGGAACTCATAGTCCATCACTAGAGGAAGAGAGGAACTCACAGTCCATCACTGGAGGAAGGGAGGCAGGAACTCACAGTCCATCACTGGAGGAAGGGAGGAACTCATAGTCCATCACTGGAGGAAGGGAGGCAGGAGCTTGTTGCAGGTGACCCTACTCCGCCCCCCAAGGACGACTCAGGCACCGGGAGTCTGTGAGTAGCAGACCATGGTACAGACTCGTTTACAAGGAAGTTAGACCAGCCTTTATACCCCCTCCCAAGGTCCTATTGGATCGGTCGGCTGACTCTGCTGTGTTGTCCTTTCCTCGTTGGTGTCTCTGGGTCAGGTGTCTCTCCCTGAGCAGCCTCTGGGCTTTGAGGCAGGCTTGGTGCCTTGGCTCAGGAAGGAAGTGCCTGCTGCGCATACGGGCACTTGCATGCTCATGAGGGCTGGCTTGGGCACGGAGGCAGGGCTACGGCAACTTGGGTAGACTGACTGCAGCTTCTCCTGCAGGAACTCACAGTCGCTCCCTGGAGGAAGGGAGGCCAGGAACTCGAGCAGAACTTGAAGGCAGGACTCCTTGCTATTCTAGACAGCACTGCCTCCAACCAGGGAGCTCACTCACAGCACAGCCACGGACATACAGCAAGAACCATCCAGAAACCCTGCTGCTGGCTTGCTCCCAGACTCATGCTTGGCCTGTTTCCTTATGAAGCCCATCTGGCCAGGACCCTCTGCTGCCCCAGAGAGCCTAGCCCTCTTGCATCAATTAACAATCAAGGCACAGGCGTGCCCATGGGTCAATCTAACCCCAGGTGGGTTCCCAACCCCCCTGCACAGGTGATTCTCAGTTATGGTAAGTGGACATGCGAAACCACCCAGTACACCTTTGAAAAGCCGGGACGGCAAGCTTAAGATCTCCACGTTTAAACACACTGTAGTAGTGAGATGTCTTTACTCTTTTGACTTTTCTTACTCTGTTGGAGGCCTGCAACCCAGCTCCCAAATAAGTCACACACACACAGAGCCCTAGTCTTAGTTATGAGTGCCTGCCTTAGCTTGACTTGTTTCTCAACAGCTTTTCTTAAGTTAACCCATCTACCTGTTCCCTCTGGGCTTTTATCTTTCTTACTTCTGTATATCTTATCTTCACTTTTACTCGGTGGCTGGGTGACTGATCCCTGGCATCCTTCTCTCCTCGCTCCTTTTCCTCAGTTCTCCTATGTATACTCTGCCTGCCAGCCCCGCCTCTCCCGCCTCCTGCCTTCTGCCTCACTATTGACCGTTCAGCTCTTAATTAGACCATCAGGTGTTCTAGACAGGCACAGTGACACAGCCTCACGGAGTTGAACAAATGCGGCGTAAACAAAAGTCCCACACCTTTAAATAATGTTCCACCACAGCACACTGCATCAGACAGCTAGGTTTGCCGACATTAAGAAAACCAGAGCCCCTTAGTCCCAACACCTCCCAGCTCAAGATGCTGTATGTGAAAGACCAAACTCAAGATGCCAGGTATTGTCCTGGCTTCCCTTTCCTGCAAGGGCAGACCTTCTAAGTTAAAAAAAATCCACATCCGGGTATCTCATCTAGAAAATGGGCTTAAGAATACAACCTACCTACAAAGTGCTACCTCAGGATAGAATGGGCTTAAACACATAAGAGTCTCAAAATAGTACACGCTAAAGTACATTTGACGCCCTGGTTTGACCACAGCTCCCTGCTGTGATTTCTCTCTCCCTTTAAGTTCCTGAGGGACTGAGGAAACCCCAGTGGTATCTTTCTCCAGCCCTCCCTGTGCTGGGCAGCGAGAGCCGGAGACTCCTGGAGCTGTGGTTGGAATCGTGGAATCTACTTTCTTGTGGCATTTTGCTACAGTTCACAATTATTGATCTTGGTTTCTGGGAACAATATGGTTACATATTAGATGCTTTCAGACCCAATTTTGTTTAGATAAAGGGTCACAACTTCCTAATCTTGACACAGAGGAGTAACCAGCAGGGAGTCTGGGGCCTGGGGTTCAAATTCCACCTCACTGAGGCCTCTCACCTAGAACAGCCAGATTCTCCCATCTTGGCGATGAGAACAGTGGGCTACGAGGACCCCTTTGGTCCCCCCCATGGTGTTACATAATCAATCGTTGGTGGTGACAGTAGTGGCTCCCCTCTGAAAGAAAGCATGCCTGCAAGCTTTATGATGACTGACCCTTTCAGTGTCCAGGACAAAGGTACTCTCGTTATCCCCATTTCACAGACGCAGAAACTGAAGCACAGAAGGATCCGTCCCTGGCAAGCCACACACAGAGACCAGCGCCTGTGTTCTCTTCCTTATTAATGTTTAATTGTGTGCTTATGTGTGTCTCTTGTGCAGGGTTATAGGGTTATGCAGAGTCTCCAGGAGAAGATGCCTGCTCGCCGCAGCTGCAGCTGGAGTCACAGGCAGCTGTGAGCTGCCCAGAGTGGGTATTGGAAACCAAGCTCTGACTGTACGAAAGATCAGTACCAGCTCTTAACCCCTGCACCATCTCTCCAGCCCCCACCATCTGTGTTCTTATCCATGATAATGATGCCCTTCGGCATCTCCCAGGACCAGAAATGCTCACTATGTTTCCCAGAGTGTGTCCTGTGTGTATGTCCCCACCCTCTCAGCCTCGGTGACAACTCTAAGGTAATCCCACAGGTCATCCTCCAAGATCTTCCCCGAAGCCTTTATGGGTCCTCACACCAGCAGCCCTTGACCCTGGCTCATGCGTCTCAGTCCTGGGCTCTGCGTGGAGGTCATTCCAGAGCCTGGGTGGCTACTGCCCCCCTGTATGGCCTCCCCGCTCTCCCACATAAGCAATGGGCCTTCCAAGGCTAGCAGGCGTCATCTTCTTTGGACATGTTCATACACAAGTTCAGGATTGAGTTCATTCAATGTCTTAGGAGTCGGAGCAGCCCTGATGGAGGATACCTTCACTTGATAAAGTCTAGTGGTCCAGAAGACAGGGTGGTGGCAGAGAGAAGGCGGCCAGCGTATCTTGTCTCAGTGTCGGGATGAGTTGAGGGGCCCCAGAGGAGGAAGGCACCTGTCAGAGAAGGCAGAGTGAGACAACGGAATGCCCACATTTCTACAGCAGAGTGTGAACACCTAGCACCGGGCCTGCAGGTTGCCATGGGAACCTCCTTCCAGCCCCACCCCAGGTGCCCTGGAGGAGTGATGCATCACCTAGGATGTGATCTCCACGTTTACCTTCTTGTAGCATTAATGACCTGTCCCTAGAGGATGTCAACATCGGTTACATGGACTCTGGTTCCCGCACTGAGATCCCATCAGGCCTTTGGGCCAATGGAAACACTTTCTGCTCTAATTCTAGAGGCCTGGTGGCAGGGGTGTTCATGGACAGAATCCCGTCTCAGTCTGTCTCCTAAAGCTGACTGTGGGGCAGAGAGCTCACTTGTCGGCAGCTGTTTTACAAGCAGCAGAGGCTGCTTGAGGGCCGTTGCCCTACTTCAGTGCCCCCCCAACTCACTCTTCAAGGAGCCACCCGACCGTGTGAGTCATCGAACCTTTCAGCCTGTGGGTCACCGTCTCTTCAACCACTCTGCATAGGAACTGACCCACTACACCTTCATCGTGCCTCGTTTTCTGGATTTGAGTAGATCTGTGTGAGACAACTCTCCCACTGCTGCCCCTGGAAGCAAAGCAGCATAGCAGAAGTTAATTCCAGAATCTGATCAGAGTCATAAAGGTACGCCAGGTGATGCCTCACCCCCAGACTAGATGCTTGCAGCTGCTCTTGCCATGAAATGTGACCTCTGCCGGCATTGGTAGAGGATAAAAGGAAACCACCCGGGTATCTCAGAACGTCCAGGGGATGAAGAATTTGCCCAGACTGAGTCTGCTGTTTTTTTTTAAAATAGCTTAATCCATTTACATTTATTTTTATTTGGAATTATATGTTTGGATCAATTTTTGCTGTATGCTCCTGTTTTTTTCTTTCTTCTTTCAACCTTCCCTTATAGGTTTTTCTTTTTGTTCCTTTTTTCTTAGTGTTCTTCAGAAATTATATACCCATACTTCTATGCCCTCACCAATCTACTATGATGCATAAATAACACTCCATAATAATAAAAAGGATCATTACTAACGTTTTTTCATATACTGGTATATCTAGTATCTCTACTCTTCACGTAATATAAGGACCTTAAACCTCTCTTCCTCACAAATTGTTGTCCAGTGTTTCCTTTTTGTTTTAAAAACCCCCCTCAAATTTGATATTGTTCTTGTGGTAAGTTTGCAATGTTTCCCTGGCAGTTTCTTTTATATCTTCTTTTATTTTAAAAGCAATCTTTTCTCATTTACATACCAATCCCATTTCCCACTCCCTCCCCTCCTCCTGATATCCCCTTCTCCCCCCACCCCCACCCCCACCCACTCCTCAGAGAGGGTCAGGCTTCCCATGGGGAGTCAATGAACTCTGCCACCTTACTTTGAAGCAGGACGAAGGCCCCCTCCCACCTATATCTAGACTGAGAAAGGTCCCTGGCAGTTTCTTAGCTTCTTGCTGCCCACGGAAACTATCTAGCATCCTTTTTCTTCTCTCAGTGTTACACTGTTTCACTTGCTTGCTCAGAAGTCTCCTAGACTTTGTATATCTTAAAATATTGTCCACCCCCCCCCATTTATGTTGTGTAGCTATTACTTAGGGATTGAAATATCTAGTAATGGCAGGAAGCAGAAAGGCTCACCAGGCTCAGGTGACGGTAACCTTTAAATGTCAGCTTGACACAACTTAGAATCACCTGGAAGAGAGGCTCAAGGACAGACTATCAACCTGGGGTTGCCCTGTGGGCATGTCCCACAGGGGGTTGTCTTAGTTAAGTTCCTTGATGTGAGAAGTCCATCTGAGGCTGCTTCCATTTGCACCTTATAAAGACTCTTGCTCCAGGCTGGCACAGTGACTGAGTGGGTAAAGGCACTTGTCGTGCAGGACTAGAGACCCGAGCTCTATCCTAGGAACCAACACAAAGGTAGAAGGAAGAGATCAACCCCACAACACTGTCTGCTGCGTCACTTGCTGGCTGTGGTTCCCGCACCTGCTGGGGCACACAGTGATAATAGATAAACTTTTGCCTTTGTCCTGTTTTTAAGATAATTTTACAGGGCGGAGAGATGTCTTGGGGTTAAAAGCATTCACTTCTTTTTTCAGAAGATGTCAGTTCGATTCTCAGAACCAACCCCAGGTATGTCATCTGCCTGTCACACCAGCTGCAGGGGATCGATAGTGCCCCCTTCTGGGCTCTGTGGGTATCTACATTCTCACGTGCATATACTTCACACATACATACATGTGCACATAGGTAAAAATATTAAATTATTATTTTAAAAGTACTTACCTTCCTCATGCCATGACTTCACAGGACTGTGTCAGGGCCTGGTGATCACTGTGTCTGGGTTTAGGGCTAAACTGAAAACTGATTTTTCAATCATGAAAGTTCATCAGTAATTTTTCTTAAAGTATTGTTTTCCTCCTGTTTTTTTTTCCCCCGCATCACCCTTCTGGAACCCCCCCCCCCCGGCCGTATCTGAGAGCCTTTTTGCCCCTCTGAGTTGCATCCTCATTGGGATTCTCAGCTTTACCATCCAGTGTATCGTTCCCGACCTGTGGTCACAACCTCTCCGTTCCCAAGCCCACTTGGTTTTCACTTTGCAAGGCTCATTACTCATTTTGTCACTTTGAAAAATCAAAACACTCCCATTTACAGATTCCTCGGGCATCCCTTCCATCCATAGTTCCTGTTAATTTTCACACTTGTAGGACTTGACTCTCTCTTTCAAGGAGCATAATGATCTCCTATACTTAAGACAAGTGTCTGTGACTCTACACCACCAGTGAGATGAGAGCCTGTGTTTGGCATGGACAGGCTCATGAAGAAACCTGAGGTCTATGCCCTCGACTCAGAGGTGACCCCTCTGAGGGACATTCAGCCATGGCTTCTGCAGATCACAGAGTCCGCCAGCTCTGGGTTTGATGAGCGGAGGGCTTCGTTTGTACCCGGCTGGTGCATTTTGTCTAGTAGCTGCAGACTGTACAGGCCTGTGCATTAATTCTTTCCTACCTAACGTTGAGTGTTAAACCTATATCTGTGACTCAGTGGACTTGTGGTCACTCTCCCAATGACAGAATGGCCCTTGTTTCTGGGCTTCAAGGTCTCCTCAAACCCTCCCTCTGACTTTTTGGCCAGACACCCTCCTTCTGCTCTGTGTTTCCCAAATTCATGACAGATTCCATAATTCCTAGGCTCTGCTTCTGACTCAACTCTTGCCTCTGGCCCCTCGATCTCTCCCTTCCCTGCAACTGAACTCATGTGTGGATTTCTCGATTTTCAGAACTGCGAATAATAGAATGGGCTTCCCAATGGCTTCAGTTCATCATCTTGACCAAAGGTTGTGAGAGAATGTTGGAAGCTAAGAGACATTCATTCATGGCCAGCAGAGAGACAAAGGTCAACATACTCTGTGAGGCAAAAGCCCAACCTCCCAGGAGCTGCCACACCAGGAAAGCTCACTCCTGAAGGGAGCCTTTGGAAGTCCACTCTGGCTTGCATCTTTTGTGTGCACGCCAAAAGTAACCCGGTTAGTTCAGCCCAAGAGAAGTCGCTACCCCTGCATCCTGCCCTCTGGGACAGGGTCCACTTTATGAGAAGCCCTGTTTTTCTTGGAAACGCAATTTCGCAAAGAAGGCTCTGTCTTCACGGTTCCTCACACTCGCCGCATTCAAGCTCAGGGACTCTGAGCATGTGCGCGTCTGTATGCAAAGCTGAGCGGGCCAAAGTCGAGCCGCTCAATAACACACAATAGAAATGTTAACTGCACTATCGATTTCTGATTACATTTGTATTGCCTGTTTAATTTTATTTTCCTTGCAGGAAATTTTTAAATCAAAAATCCAGTTATTGAAAAGCCCATGAGCCAAGTGATACTGATGAGACCGGAGGAAACAGTCATTAAATCTGAAGGCTGTTCCCTCCTCCACTCTCCACCCACCCCCAGCCAGGTTCAGAACCCAAAGAGCCTCCATTTCCAAGCGAGAGTAAATGCATGTGACCTTCAGCTCTACGGAGGTTCACCTACTCCGATCAGCTTTGCCATGTTATCTCATTAAATAAAAACAGTTTTGACACCCAGAGACTAAAGCACCCTCGAGATAACACAATAACACCCTGCAATCATTCCAAATTGGATTGCAATAATCCATTTAGGTGACCATACATATTTGTTATGTGTAATATGAAACATCGCAAAATGAAATCAATAGGAATGCTTCTCGTTAATGAAGATATACTGAGCTGTTATGTGTGGGTTGCGGACTCGATACCGCAGAAATCTTATTTGTATTATAAATTTCAGAGTATCCTGAGAGTTACAAATGAAGATAGCATTTCTTAGAGAAGTGATGGCTGGTCATTTAGGAAATTATGTCATCAATTTGATGTCAAATCTTGGTCTTCCAAGGTCTTTGCATAATAACATAGTCTTAAAGTTCAGGTAAAAAAAATTCTGGCTAAGTGGTTGCATATAATGGCTTGCAAACAAACCAAATAAACTTCTAGGCAAACTTTTACTGTAAGACTACAGTTCTCAGAATAATCTAGCTTTATCTGAAGACCTACCCTATAAAATCCTAATGTACATTTCAAGATGGTTTTTTATTTTTTTACTATTCTCATGAAAACTGAAACTATGAAGTAGAGATAGGTAGGCGGTTACATGTAAAGATATATACAAATTAGTATTGGTTTTTAATTTCAAATACACACACACATGCGCAGTAAGGAGGGAGTGGCATACACACCACGGTGTGGTGCACCTGTGGACAACCTGTCGGAGTCAACTCTGTCTTCCACCCTGTGGGCCTTGGGATGGAACTCAGGCTGCCAGGCTTGGCTGCAAGCAGCTTTATCCACTGCTCCATCCCATTGTCCCTATACATGCATGCATGCATGGGTACATACATACATACATACACACATGCCTAACACTGAGCCTGCAATGCACGCCACTAGAATGTTGCCAAACCACATATTAGATACAATGTTGCGCAGTTCAGAATATACACAATCGCTTACACTTGTCAACAAATAAGATAAGATGTTTTAATTTCTCTTAACTAAACACTTTCTCACAAAGCGGTTTTTCAGAAGGCCAAGTTAAGGCTATCTTTCTGCATTTTGGACATTATGGTGCAGTTTCAGTGAACAGTTGGTGAATATCTGTAATAAGGGCAAGGGATGTGTGAAGTCAGGAGTTAGGATTCCACTGGCATGCCCGATGTCATCGCTCATGTCCCACTGGTCTAGGGACTTGACTTACACCACCAGCAAGGTCCCCAGGAACGGCCTCTCTGGTGAGAGAGGAAGGTTTCTGGAATGCAAAGACAGCCACTTGCTAGTGCAGATTCCTTACGGAGCACTGTGACCCTGCTGCTCTATTTATGGCCGTTTGTCATGGCACCTTCTCCACCAAATCTTCTTAATCCATCAGTGCCTATAACCACGGATCAAAAGCAACCCCTGCAGCCCACCTCCATCCCTGTGCTCGGCTGGATGGGGATGCTGATGGGGATGCTGATAGGGATTCTGCCCACCCTGCAGGCTCCGTGCTCCTCCATCTTCACTCCAAATCCCTTCT